AGTCCTTCCAATGAACACCCAGGACTGATCTCCTTTAGGATGGACTGGTTGGATCTCCTTGCAGTCCAATTGACTTTCAAGAGTCTTCTCAAACACCACAGTGCAGAAGCATCAATTCGTCAGCGCTCAGCTTTCTTTATAGTCTAAATCTCACATCCATACATCACTACTGGAAAAACCATAGCTTTGACCAGATGGACCTTTGTTGGCATAGGAATGTCTCTGCCTTTTAATATGCTGTCTAGGTTGGTCATAGCTTTTCCTTCAAGGAGCAAGCATCTTTTAATTTCATGGCTGCAGTCACCATCTGCAGTGATTTTGGAGCCCAAGAAAATAAAGTCTGTCACTGTCTCTATTGTTTCGCTGTCTATTTGGCATGAAGTGATGGGACCAGATGCAGTGATCTTAGTTTTCTGAATGTTGAGTTTTAAGCCAACCCTTTCACTCTCCTCTTTCACGTTCATCGAGAGGCTCTTTGGTTCTTCTTTGCTTTCTGCCGTTAGGGTGGAATTATCTAAATATCTGAGGTTATTGATATTTCTCTCATTGATAGCGTCTTGTACTGATAATGTCTCCTGTGGAGGTACAGGTCGGCAGTGGTCTGCCGCAGGGACAGAGGTTCTGGGTGTGGGTATGGCATAATTCCTCTTGGAGGAGGTTGCCATTAACCCCACTATAGAGCTGCCAGAATTTACATAAGACTGGGAAATAGACTCTCAGAGGGCAACATGCCTTAACACTACTCATTTCTCCAGTGAAAATTTACTTCTAACACTCCCTCTGATAAATAATAAACCCTCTGAGGCAGATGGAGATATGATTTGAAGCCCTTGCCTTGGGCTCTTCTGAAGCCTAAATTCTTGATAAGAGTTCTTTATATGTTAATCAACAACTGTTGACAAATCACCCTAAGGCATAGATGAAAGTTAAATATAAACATAGATATCATCTGGTTTGCCTGTATTCTAGGTACTCCCTCCCTTTAATCCCTAACAGCTGTACTAAAGCAACCTCCAGGAAAAATATAACGTAAGTCAAATAGCATGCTTGCTATCTATTTATACGCAGCCTTCATGCACATCCTCCAGCACTTCCCAACCCCTCTATCATCCTAGTGAGACTGACACCATTGAATTTCTACTATAGAGAAATACAAAAGCACCACTGCCGGAATCCAAATTCAAATGATTACTTTCACAGGGATGCAGAGACAAGATACTTGGATCCATATATAGCAGATGTGTTGATATATTGCTCAGATCCCCCTTCAGCAATAAAAGACTTGTTCCCTGAGCTGCTGGGAGTTCTGCTGGAAGCAGGCCTCACTTTCAGCAACACCTCCACTCCCACACCACTGCCCTGGGAATCGCCTAGGCTGAAGACAGCTCTCTCATCCAAGATTACTTCCCAAGGTTACAAGTTCCTGGGGCAATTTGTATCGAAGACTGATCAATAATGGGTCATGAAGAGCTGGCCCCCTTGCCACAGATGCTTTTGATGATGGGTCCCAGATCCAGAACTCCCAACTTGTCCGCCTACCCAATCCTGCTTCCCCCTCTTTGGCCATAGTTATCCCAAGACCACTCCCCAATAAACCTCCTACCCACTAATCTTCATTTCAGTCTTGCTCTTTTGAAACAATTTACTCTTAAATCATAGGTTTGCAAGGTGCCCATGCATCTTTGCAGCATGTGTAGCATATATTTGTACCAAGAAAGGAGCTGTAAGCATCCTGAAGTGGAGGGACCTAAAGTATAATATTAAACAGGCCTAAAATCCTTGGGCTCCACACCATCTGCATGGTCTATTCTTGGGGGGGGGGGGGTCCATTCTGCCTCAGGACCCCAGTTTCTAGCTTTCAATCACTAATTCAATTGTTCAAAACATGATCTTTAAGCACTGTCTTAAATTTAGTTTTTATTTGTATGAAAGTTATGCGTGTGCCTGGCTGAAAGAATCAAAAGTTCTACAAAGCTTATTTGACAGAGGTGCTGTTAGAGCTCTGACATCAGTTCTCACCTTCTTTAATAACAGGACTTCTAAGTTTTAACTGAGCACATGACAACAGCTAGTCACTGCATGTCCAAGCCTTCCCTGCAGCTTGGTCAGGCTATGTGCCCACCGTCTGGTCAATAGCTGTGTGCCATTTCTGGGCATGTGCCTGCCAAGGTAATGTCATGAATTCCCTTGAACTATTCCCCCTTCCCACTGGCTGGGATGACAAAAATGCAAATGGCTGACTTTCTCCCAGAGATGAAAGCTAGACTTTGAGGGTTATAAAGCCAACCTTCCAAACTAGATTATTTCTCTCTGGACCATATCAAATAAGGCACATATACCTATCTTATTTAATTAAACCTCTGTATTTTGAGGTCTTCTTGTTAAAGCAACCTAGCCTGCATGTTCACCCATGTAGATATTTTTTTAAATGACAATCTTGCCCATCCTCTTTTCTTTTTTCCAGAAGCAACTACAACATGTTCAACATACTTCTATCTGATATTTCATCCCTGGGCATTATTAATTGAGTTTCCAGTCTGGAAGATGAATATTCCACTCTTTTTTTCCTTCTCTCCCACGTTCACCATACCAAGTGCACACTTGATATCCATTCTTCCATCTTCCAAGGATATAATAATTATGTTGTCGTTTTGGATAGATAAGATATTTCAGCTCAGCTCAGTTCAGTCACTCAGTCATGTCTGACTCTTTGTGACCCCATGGACTGCAGCACTTCAGGCTTCCCTGTCCATCACCAACTCCCAGAGCTTGCTCAAACTCATGTCCATTGAGTCAATGATGCCATCAAACCATCTCATCCTCTGTTGTCCCCTCCTCCTACTGCCTTCAATCTTTCCCAGCATCAGGGTCTTTTCCAGTGAGTCAGTTCTTCGCATCAGGTAGCCAAAGTATTGGAGTTTCAGCTTCAGCATCAGTCCTTCCAATGAATATTCAGGACTGATTTCCTTTAGGACTGACTGGTTTGATCTCCTTGATGTCCAAATGCAAATGGTATATAAAACTGACCTCTGCAATGCACTATGCATGCTTTATCCTTTCTTTGATAACATTTTGTTTTTCCCTGGAGATGATATTTAATTTTTAAAAATTTTCTTAGCTTCCTATTGACTTATCATTAATTTAAACCTAAACATTGTTGAATGATCTCCTCTAAATACATTCAAAAGTAATTGGGATGCAATCAGTTTCATTTATTTGAAGAAATATTCCCAGAGCTTTCTGACTGGCTCCATCTGGACTTATTGTTTACTAAGCCTGATGTGTGTGTTTGACCTGCCATCTTTAATTGGACTTTGGGGCCAGTTTTGTAACTCTGGATTGCTAAGCAAGTCTTAATCCCCTGCAAGGGCTGCTAGCTATGTGACATAGCAAGTTTCCTTAACAGAAGGCCCCATATGTAAGTGTTCTTGTTGGAAGCTGTCTCCTGAGAACACTTAACCAATTTTCTGCACAATGAAGAGATTGAAAGTCTCTCAGCTGGATCAATGTCTTCCTTCTTGGAGTTCAGATCTGAAACTCTTCCTGCATTAGGCAGAAAAAATGAATGCCAATTAACAGCTTTCTACAAAAAAACCCAAAAACCCTTTAACTCAAGATACCACTCTTTAATCATTTTAAACAATTCTGCACATGGATACTGGCCAACCTTAAATTTGACAGAATTCTCAAATATTTGGGGTATAGTATTAATACATAATCTTTTGGTCTTTGTCCAAGTTCAAGTTTAGGTGTAACTCTTACTGAGAATGCCTGGAATCTGAACAGCCAAGTTTAGAGCTTAAACAACTCCCCCTTTCTCAATGTCCGTTTATCTGCCAACAGAGCCAGATACCCTCCATGCCATACCCACCCACCCCCTACAACTCTCAGGGAATTCTAGGAAGACAGCTCACCTTGGTATATTTTATTACAAGATTAAACCATGCAGGGAGGCTGGGAGAAAACTTCAATGGCAGACACTGGTCAACAATTGTCAGGCTCATTCTTATTTCAGTTATCTTTCCCAAACTCCAGCATGATTTTGGATGTTTCGATAACTAGTGTGATCTGATAAAAGCTTATCAACTGAGAGCAGCCATAGAGAAGGGAATGAAGTGACTATTTCCCACTAGTGTCTGAAGTAAAGCTAAAGCACTCAAATGTATGTGCACTCCTACACAAAAACACACTAACAATAAAAATACAAATACACACAAAAGCAATACACAGACTCAATGCCTGGAAATTTTGATCTGGCTATGAATAAAAATTTTGGAAAAGTTTGGGAGGAAATTATTTTGAGTTGAATTTCAGGTAAATTTAAGAAGGCATTTCTAACTGGATATGTCTTTGAAATGCGAGTTTCTATATTTGCAATCATCATCACACATTTTGAACATCTTCTGTAGGACCAAAGCCAGGTGCTGGCTGTCACATACACAGATGACTAATGACAAGGCAATTTGAAATACACTGAATAGCCAACAGGAAGGGAAGGAGGGGAAGTAGAGAGGTGGGGACTTTATTCGCACCTCCAGGAAAAGACAGAATGTATACCAATGAGAAGGAGGATGCAAGCCATCTATGTAAAGGGGAGAGCCTGAATATGGGTTACAGAGCTGGAGATGGGCCTGCCATGTATCTGGCATGTTCAGAGAACAACAAATTGCTTAGAACACAGGATTCAGGTGTGGAATAATAAAAGACCACACTGCAAATGGGGTATATTCATTTTAAACTGTATTTGAGCTGAAATGCCAACTGAAGGCATTTGAACATCTTGAAGGCATTGGGAAACCACAGAAGTTTCTGTTGTTATTTAGGAGTGTGGGTTAGGTTAGGGGAGGGAAGAAAATGTGATATATACATGCGCTGCTTTGGGATAATTCCTCTGACCATGAAGTGTAACTGATCAAAATGGAGAACGAATGAGGCTTGGGAGCTCGGGGCCGCGGCAGACTCAGGGTGAGGAAGTGAGAACCTGGCCTAAGGCTACCAGTTATTAAGCACCTTGCAATCTATGTCACAGGCTTTGTGAGCTCCATGCCTTATCTCAGGTAAATTTCATGACACCCTGTGGAGTAGGGAAGTAACTGAGATCAGGAAACTAAGAGGTTCAAGGTCACACAACAAGCAAATGACTCAGGTGGGATTTGAATTAATTTTTTTTTCTGATGTCCAAGTCCATGTTCTTTCTACTATGACACATCAGCCTCTTTTTGTTAATAATGGTTAATCATAGCAGTGACAAGAGGACACGGCAGGGGACCCTCCTTAGGACAGGGTTATCCTTGCAATCTCAGTATCTTTATGTTGTACCATGATTTTGTGAGTCACTCAATATCCTCTTCTTTCCACTTGAAATTCGCGGAGTGAAAAACCATTCCATGCTGCAGCGTCTCCCCAAGGGCCCAGTCCTGTGATCGCCCTGACATGGAAAGTGAGTAGCGAAACATGTTTCAGGTTTGTGGGAAATTGCGAGGGACAAGACAGAAATCATAAAGGCACAATTGAATTACTTTGTGCTGTGGCCCCTGGGATAACAGCTGTTTTCCAGGTCTACAGTCATTCTCATTAGGAAATTAAAAACTCAAAACTCCGCATCCGCAGCCTTGCACAGCTCCGGCCACGTGTTGACAGGAAGCTCTGTGTTTGCACAGGTGGGCAATCCAGCAGCCTCACAAAGTGGGTGGCTGGAAGCCCTGCCCTGAACACAGGTGGGCTATTGGAGGAAAGGCAAACCCAGGAAGAGGCTCGAGTGTTCTGGTCAGCCCCCCTCCACGGAGGGATGAGGGCCCCTGCAGTCCTCTCTACCTCGGCAGGTCATTTTAGGGCCATAAACAACTACTGCTTGAGAGCTCTGTCCACTCAACCTAATGCAGAAGGATCTGGTCTGGCATAAGGTCAAGTCTCCAAACATTACTTACAATTTGATACCTTTGTGCACCACTGAAAAAAACCCAAACTAGTTGTGCTTTTGATGAAGCATAGAGGAATGTCATACATTTCAAAAAAGAAATGCATTTAAAAGCAAAGGGAGGGAACAGCACAAGACTTAGGGCAATGAGCAGCTACTGAAGGTTTGGGGTTTGGGAAGGCAAGGGGCCAGGAAGGGCAGGACCACCTGGACAGCTAGGTGTTGTCAGTGGTCTAGTTTCTGAGTCAGGTGGTGAGTTCATGGGAATTGTATAAAATTATTAAAACCAAAAAATCCACATGTAAACCATAGAGGACCATGTGTAGACTGATGATGAGAGTACATCAAGAACCTAAGAGTATAATTAATACATTTCTGTTCCCCTGAGGTACAAATTGGATAAGAAAACAAAAGATGAGATGTTGCCAGAACTCTGCCAAAGACCCTATTCTAGAACACCTAGGCTTTGAACACTCTTACCTTTGAACATCTTACCTTGCTGGAGGCTTCAGTGTGCAGCCTGATGACCTGGCATCTGCCATCTGCTGTCTTCTTGGTACACAAGACCACTGAAAACTCACATCTAGAGAGAGCATAGGTGTTGACTAAAAACTGGGAAGTGAGCAATGGTAGAAAACTTCAATGAAAATGAACAAGGAGAATGACAGTAATACCAAACTGCATTGGAAATTTTCCACAATTGGAAATGTCAACAATCATTTCTTCAATTAAAAGACATTTAAGAGAAAGTCAGAAAACACATAACTAGTCTTGTAGTCACAAGAACTTAATTCCTTCTCAGGAGCTAGGAGAAATTGAGTATACCTCTTACATCTCCTCCCTTGCCCTCCTCTCTTCATTTTTTAGCCTCTAACCTGAGACATCCATTCCACCCAGAAAGAGCACAAAATGTGAATGAGTTGGACTAGCTGATCTCAAAGTCACCCCTGGGCTCTGAGGTCCATGCTGCTCTGTGAGTTGTGGCCAGGCCATGCACCAGCAGTCAGGACCCAAGGCAGTTGCATCTCCCCCAGCTGAGATTGTCCAGTTCAGGGTGAACTGGGGGATTATCTTGATGCTTCCTCAGACTTACCGTGTTTCTCTCTCCAAAGTCAGAAAATTAATCTCAACTTTTCATACCTTGAATGTTTAAAGCGTAGAACTATAGTCACTGAAAATCAGAGAAAGAGAAAAGAAAGAGGGAGAAAGGCAGGGAGATGAAGATAAATGGGAATATGTGGCAGTCTGAGAAAAGCCAGGGGACCACAATTAAAGCAAAGCAGCACATCTCTAAATGTGTTGTCTAAACTCTTCTCACAACCAAGTTCATAGGATTAAAATGTGCTGGTGAGGTAGGCAACTTTCATTGTATTACTGAGGAACGTGTTAACAGAAATGAACTAAGAAATATCTGTGTGCCAGGAAATGTATTAGGTCCCAGAGATAAAGAAATTACCAACCCAGGTAATATCCCATCCCTGGGAAGAACTTCTACAGGGACAAGAACCAATTGCACTTAAGTAAATCTACAGCATAACATTGGACAGAGACGCAGACTCTGAAGGAATGCTTTGGTGTCTGGGGGAGAGGTGACATTGAAGACATGATGGTCAGAGAAGGCTTCTCTGCTGGGGAGACCCGAGAGAAGGAAGCAGCCAAGGAAACCTCTCACAAGTGAGCTTTCTCAGAAGAAGGAAGGAGTAGCCACTGGCCAATTCCTGAGGCAGGAGTGGCTGTGTGTCAGGCCTGTTTGAAGACAGGAAGAGGCTTGTATGGCTAGAGTCAAAGCCTGCCACATGATAGCAGGGCCCAGTGCAAAATGAAAATGCAGGGCCTTTGGTTCAAAACTTATTAAAACCTTCAAAACAGCATCAGTAGAACACTGAACCAAGTGCAAGTCCCTTCGAAGCTCAGGATCTGGACAAGAGCAGGCCTGGTTGGCTTTAAGGTAGGAAATGAGATCTGAGAAATGTTTATGACTGTTCATGCTTGGCCTTGTAAGACATTTCAAGGAGCTTAGATTTTACCCCAAGTGCAATAGGAAGGCATCATGGGTTCTAAGTAAGTAAGTATGTGGCCTGACATGGTGCTAAAAAGAGCTCTGACTCCTATGGAGATGAGCCTGGGAAAACCAGGAATGACAATAGAGAGGCCAGTGAGGTTGCTAAAGAACTGTAGCAATGACAGTGAAGAAATAACTCAGTGTGGTATTCTTTAATCATAGTTGGATACAATATTGTTCTTACCACCCCTCACATTTGAAATATTCTGTGTTTTTCAGCTCTGAGAATGAGTGAACCTGCTCTGGATGCTGGAGCAGATCTGGGTAACGACCTAGGATAAAGAACCTGGGCAGAAGGAGAAGCCAGGCTGAAAGTGTACTTTAAAAGCAAGGAGATCAGACCAGTCAATCCTAAAGGAAATCAACCCTGAATATTCATTGGAAGGACCAATGCTGAATTTGAAACTCCAATTCTATGGCCATCTGAGGCAAAGAGCAGACAAAGAGCCAACTCATTGGAAAAGACCCTGATGCTGGGAAAGATTGAGGGCAAAAGAAGGGGAGACAGAGGATGAGATGGTTGGATGGCATCATTGACTCAATGGACATGAGTTTGAGCAAACTCTGGGAGACAGTGAAGGAGAGGGAAACCTGGCATGCTGCAGTTCATGGGGTCAAAAAGAGTCAGACAACTTTGCAACTGACAAACAACAATAACCTTCTCACTTCACCTCTACCTCAACCAGGCAGGGATAGGAAGTAGAAAGAATAGAACATACTTCAGAAAATTCTGTCCTGTGGGTCTCTGATCTGGAAGTCCATTTCATTTTATTTGGGGGAGAATGGATACATGTATATGATGGCCGAGTCCCTTCATTTTTCACCTGAAACTACCACAGTATTGCTAATTGGCTGTACCCCAATACAAAATAAAATGTTTAAAGTTAGAGAAAAAAAAAAAAGGAAAAGGAAATTCCTGAGAGCTTAAAGAATGTCTTTCGATGGCTCCTACAGGAGTCACAAGAGGGGCGATTTGAAATTCTAACCAAACCCAGGACAGGGGTGGGCGCTTAGGCATGGTTGAATAGTAGAGTAGGTGACCTCTGCAAGCTGCAATTTCTGTAAGCATGTCACCATGTCCTTCCTCAGCCACTGAAGGGCAACCAGGAGATTCTACTTTCTGGACAATGGCTTCAAGAACAGATTTTGATGGAATTATGGGAGGGAGATTGAGGATGCTCCTGCCTGAGAAAGGAGGTAAATATGGTTAAGAAAAAAAGAGGCTTAAAACCAGCCAATTGTTCATGAACACCTATGCACTCTAATGTGGATTTGTATGTTGTAGCAACCTTATGATTGATCATGATCTAAGCGTGAAAAGTAAAGAAAGAGAAAAGAGCCTAAGGTCACTCATTTAGAAATGAAGGAATCAGGACTCAAAGCCAAGCTTATATTTTTTCCATCTTGCCAAAACCATAACAGTGGTGATTTAAAAAAATGACCACATATCCTTGGACCCTCCTCTCATTGACCCCTCCCATTGAATCTGTGTGGGCTCATGCGTGCTTTAAACCATGAGTATGGCAGAAGCGATGCTGTGTAGCTTCCAAGAAGGTCAGAAAAGGCCAGACAGCTTCCATCTGGTTCTCTTGGAACCCTTGTTCTTGGAATGTTCCCTCTTGTATCCTATCAGCCACACTATGAGAAGCCCAAGGCACACAGAGAGACCACATATAGGTGCCCTGGTTAAAAGCCCCACTGAGCCCAGCTTGGAGCAAGCCAGCCCAGGAGCCAGCCATGTGAGTGAAGATGCCATGTTGGGAGGGAATCCTCCAGGCTCAGCTATCCAACATTTTCAGTTGAGGCCACAGACATCACAGAGTGGAGACAAGCCAGTTCTACTGTGCCCTTTCTACATTCTTGACCCACAGTCTGATAGTTGCTGTTTTATGTCACTAAACTTGGGAGAGTTAGTTATGCAGCAATAGGCGATGAGACTAATAATTTTGACTTGGACTGACTTGATGGTGTGAATGGGTCTGAGGGCAAATGTGTCATAGGAACAAACAATAGGTGCCATGGTTTTGAATTATCTTGACTATAGAGACAAGTTGATACTTAATTACTATAACCTTGGTCTGGTATGTATTCTCATAAATGTCACGTATTCTCTTAAATCCAGTAATTTAAATGACAGCTATCTGTCTAAAACAAGATGTTCTTGGGCCAACAATTGATATATCTTTCACATAAATTTTAAATGAAGCCTTTTTGGCTTATGTAAGATCATTAAAGTCTCCTTTTAAATCAATAAGTCCATGCTCTGTAGTCTGCAAAGTCATTATATGGCAAATGACATTTCCAAGTCAATGGCTGCTGGAAGCAATTTTAAATCAAAGCATTTGAATAGCTTCAATTTTTTTCCCATAAGTAATATGTTTTAGGTTATATTTCATATACAAGAAGGTTTGGTCAAATTTATGTTTTTTCAGATATCCAAACCATATCCAGATTACACTCGAACCTTTCTTTGAGAGCTCTATGTAGTATTCAATTGCTTTTGACAAGCATGATACCCTGTAAAAGATATGGCTTTCCTCTGAAAACCCCCTTTAGCTAAAAATACATTGTACTGAAAATAAAGTAGCTGTATCATCTAAATTCAACTCTCTGTAGCATTTTGTAAACTTTCATGACCATAGAGAATGAGCTCTTAAACCTGATTTCAGGGTGTCTAAAACAAGATTTGCATGTGAAGACATGGGGGCCCTGCCCTCCGGCCAGGGAACCAGGCGACTCATTCAGACCCTCCTTTCCAGGTTTTCAGTGCAATGATGTGGGACACAGCAGCTTCAATTTCTTGGGTGGGATGTTGGCAGAGTGGGGGAAATGATAATTCTTAAGGAACAACTTTTGAGGGGGGAAACTGAGGCTTTTTGAATAGAGCATGGGAAAGTATCTGGGCAGAACCAGAAGAAAAGAGAATATGTAGCTGATATATTTGTTTGGTAGAAGCTAAGAATGAGAACAGGAGAAGAGGTAAGAGTGAGAGCAAGCAGCGGGTGTGAAGTAACACCCAGAACTCTGAACATCCTTGTCACCAACATGACCATCTTCATAAAGCCTGTCGGCGGAGGCTGCATGCTTCTCCCAGCAGCCATGCTGACAGAAGGGTCCTGTTCACGGCACAAATCCGTGTTCATGTGCTGTGCTGTACCCATGAATGCCAGATTCTTTTTGTGTGTCCACAGTCAGATTGTGGCAGAAACCCACATGAAAGACTTGGGTTACAACAGTGATAAATCATCTGGAAGATTAAATGACTCTGATAGCTTCCGTGCTGCCATCTGGACTGTGGTCATTTTGAAGGTTGACTCTTTACTTGTTTTAATTGATGTGGCC